TATAGATAACGGATTAATGGCAGGATAATCAGGAGCAGAATGCTCTGCGCTGTACCTGCTATGTGCCCAATGAAGAAATCAAAAACAAGAGCATATAGAACACCTTACACGATACTCCTCCTTTACATCTTAAAAATTTCATATAGATACCCATAGATTATAGAAACCGTTTATACCTTTATGAATCCTGTTGAATACCCGTTCGTGATTTCACCAATATTCACAGACCAAAAAAATGCTTGCCATCATTTTGAAAAACCGCTCACCAACACGCAGCACTCGAGATCCTGGTAAACACGTTCGGCACATCAAATTCACATTCCTCAACCCTGAACCTGAAACCCCGCCCACTTGGGACGAAGCGCGATTGCAGTCAAGCGGCCCTGATTCAACTCAATCGGCCCCGATTGAACTCAATCGGGGGCCGGATTGAAGATTGAAGATTGAAGATGCCCCGGCAAAAGTTTTCGAGGGAATCTTCAATCTTCAATCTTCAATCCGGCGCCCGATTCAACTCAATCGGCCCCGATTGAACTCAATCGGGGGCCGGATTGAAGATTGAAGATTGAAGATTCCCCGGCAAAGTTTTCGAGGGAATCTTCAATCTTCAATCTTCAATCCGGCGCCCGATTCAACTCAATCGGCCCCGATTGAACTCAATCGGGGGCCGGATTGAAGATTGAAGATTGAAGATTCCCCGGCAAAGTTTTCGAGGGAATCTTCAATCTTCAATCTTCAATCCGGCGCCCGATTCAACTCAATCGGCCCCGATTGAACTCAATCGGGGGGGGGGGCGACTGAGTTCAATCGGCCCGATTGAACTCAATCGGGCCAGGGTGGAGTTCACCCAGCCACAAAACGGTCCATCGGGTAGGCCCTCCCCTCAAGGATCTTCCATTTTCGTGTGATGTGGCTCACAAACACACGAAAAAGGTAGATCCATGGGGGGGGATACCATATATATATATATATATCTCTGCCTGTATAAAAAATGATACATATATATATATGTATATATATATATATATATATATATATATATATTCCTGTGGATGTATATATACATGTAGATCTACACTGAAACTTTGAATCCCTATATGTTCCCGGACAGCTGAAACAATGTCTCTGTATGTCTTGAAACCTTACTACCTAAAAAAGACTTAAAACCTCCAAACCCTAAACCCTATACAAACTTAAAGACTATAATAATCCCAAAATGAATATCTACATGTCTAGAGATAGAAAGACACAGCCCTATATAAACCCTATTAAACCCTATAAGCACTCAACCCTATAGAAACCCTATAAACCCCTATACTTATAAACCCCATTATATATTATATATTTAAACCCTATATACCTTAACTTCAATAGATTTCTATCTATAATATCTCCAACCATCGAAACCTGAGATCCTTTGCGAATTTTTTGTCATCGCATGGAAGATGCAATGGAAGATCCATGGTGCCCTGGCCGCTCGCTCCATGGAAGACCATGCATTGTGCCTTTAGGCCGCTGGTCCTGCATGCCAGGTCACACAACAAAGGCAAGCAGAACATGCTGCTATGCGATGGTCCTGCATGGTCTTGGGACTCCGTGGGCTCGTCCGTGGGCTCCTCCGTGGCCTCGTCCGTGGGTTCCTCCGTGGGCTGCTCCATGGGCTGCTGGTTCTGGCTCGGGCTCCTGCAGGGCATTCAGAAAATCCATGACTGCCCAGTCTGGCCAATTTGGAGACGGAAAGGCCCCGCTATCATGGTCGCTCTCGTGGTCCGTTTGGCCCTCGTCTTCTGCAGCCCACCAATCCTGGCCCTCCTGGTTCACCTGGCCCTGGTCCTCGTGGTCGTCCTGGTCGAAGTGGCCCTGGTCCTGCCGTGGCTGACAGATCCGCAGCCCACCAAACATGGACTGGAACCAAGAGTGGCCGCAGCGGATGCAGGATCTGGCCTGGTGGATGTCATGGAGTGACACCATGGCCGCCTGGCACCTGGTGCACTCCCAGTGGGTGGGCTCTGGATAGTTGCCGGTGGTTGGTGAACCTCGCCGTGGCATGCTGTGCACCAGGGTTCTGGACAACTGCATTGGGTGGGACGTACCACCCGCAGGCCATGGTGAGGGCCGTGACCTCGTTGGCTGGCACCAATGGCCTTGCAAGCACCAATGGTGCAACCGCTGGATTTGGCATGGGTGCCACCCATGGCCCAAGCACCGGAGGGGCCTTGGCCGGAGGGGCCTTGGCTGGAGCTGCCGCGGGGACCGCTGCCTCCGTGGAGGCTGTGGAGGCTGCCGTGGGCATGGGTGCCTTGGCATTGCTCTTGGGAGCGGCACCGGACATTATGGTGCAAAATGCAAAAGCAAAGCTGGCCGTGGATGGCAAAAGTGTGCTGGAGCACGAAAGGCTGCAGCACAGTGGCAGGATCAACAATTCGAAACTGTGTTTGTGACTAGACATACTTTGTGTCTACAGCTTTGCCAGTATACATACATAATTCTCTATATATCAAAATCTGTAGAAAATTTAGTTGTTTATATAAAGAAATACCTACATGTCTTTATGTATATATACATATATATATAGCAAGACATATATAGAAACATGTAAAGTGCACCTACCGAAAAAGCGAGCCATGAAAGGCGAAACTATAGCAGGGACTCTGGAAACCTGGAGCCTTGGTCCTAGATAGGCTTGGAGGCTTTGTGGGATGACATCTAGGATACGGGCCTTCTGACCACATATATATATATATATATATCTATATATATATATATATTGACATCTAGAAACATGTCATGTGCTCCTAGCGAAATAGCGAGCCATCAAAGGCGAAACCCTGTATGCTTGGAGCCTTGGGCCGAGATAGGCTTGGAGGCTTAAGGGGTGAGATATAGGCTACGGGCCTTTTGACAAATAAAGGCTTGCAACTTCTCTTTTTCACTCCACCAAGCCATCATGGTCCAAGTGGTCAGTCATGCCATTGGAGCCGGCATCCATGGTCGACAAACGACCGAAGCCAGACTTGCCCGCATTGCACGCAAACCTTCCGCTGGTACAATTTGTGGCACCACACCCAGCTGCTGCACCCTGGCTTGGAGCAATGGAGTGCCAAATGGCCCCCAATTGGCTCCTCGAAGTCTGGCTCGAAGCCTGGGCCAAACATGGCCTGCAGCTGGGCCTTGGTCATGCCCAAAGTGTCCTCCATGGGGTCCATGGCCTCTGGCTCCACCGTGGTCTTGCTGCCGGCTGGCAAAACTGGCTTCTCCGTGGTCTTGCTGGCGGCCGGCTTCTTCATGTTGTGCTTGGAGACCGTGGCCTTGGAGTCCTGCTGGGCCTTCATGGCTTGTGCCTGCAGGGTCGTTATGTGCCCTTTAGATATCTAAAGCAGGACCCAAATGGAGACCCTGCACCGGCCTTCGGGGCCATCTTGGAGGGCTGGTGGCTTGGGAGCGCTATGGGGCAGGCCAACACTTGGCAAGAATGGCTGCAGCATCCGCACACCATTCAAGAATCTCATGCAAGGTCTCGTTGACTGTCTCTATTCTCCCTCTCTCTCTCTCTCTCTCTCTCTCTCTCTCTCTCTCTCTCTCTCTCTCTCTCTCTCTCTCTCTCTCTCGTCTCTCTCTCTCTCTCTCTCTCTCTCTCTCTCTCTCTCTCTCTCTCTCTCTCTCTCTCTCTCTCTCTCTCTCTCTCTCTCTCTCTCTCTCTCTCTCTCTCTCTCTCTCTCTCTCTCTCTCTCTCTCTCTCTCTCTCTCTCTCTCTCTCTCTCTCTCTCTCTCTCTCTCTCTCTCTCTCTCTCTCTCTCTCTCTCTCTCTCTCTCTCTCTCTCTCTGCAAAGCGAGCCGGCCACATTGGCAAATTAAGAAAGAAATGGTGCAAGCCACATCGGCCGATATATATATATATATATATACATATATATATATACATACATATAAGATGCAAGCCACTCTGGCAGTACAGATAGGGATATGTACATAAATCTGTATGTGTATGTATAAGTATGAACATGTATGTATATATATATATATATATATATTACATACATGCATAGCCTGTATTTATGGACATATAGTGGCCACATTGGCACTCTGTAGCAAAACTTCAGAGATGCAACATTTACACAAACATATGTGTACAGAGGTATATATCATATACATGTACATCTATAGAAATTTCTACACGGTTGCAGAAAAAATACATTCATAAAACAACTGCTTATATACATATATATATATATACACATGTGTATATGCCTGCAAGCACATGTTTTCACACCGTCCAGGCATGCTCATGGCTTGTGCAGAAGCTCTTTGATTATTCTGGTGAGATCAGCATTGGAGCCTTGGTCACCATGGGTGGCTTCATGCACAGCCACCAATTGAGCTCGAAGCCAGTTTTGGAAGGACGTGGATGCTGTGGATGGCTCCATGGACACTTGGAACTCCTCCATGGTCTCGTGGGCATGGAGGAGAAAGGTCCGCACCCGGAGGCTGGCACCGAACCACATGGGCACCCACTTTGGGTTCAAGCGGAGAGGAGTGCCGGTTATGCCGGTGGTGCCGCTGGTCCTTTTGCCCGCAAAGTGGTCCTGCCTGGCCGAGCATCTGCTGGAATGGCTGCCACCTTGGCTGCACTTCCTGCAGCATTTGGTTTGGCCCAAGTTGGCAAACCGCTGGCAGCCTGGAGTTTCGCATGGCTGGCTCAGGGGCGGCTGCAGGTGCAAGCTCCATGATGGATTGCTGTGGACAGCCTCTGGCCTTGTCTGGCAAACAGCTGCTGTGCATGGACGAAGAAGAATTATACCAAACATCGCACAATTCATGCATGCTGTCCATTCATGGAAAAGCCACATGGCACATGCATGCAAGAATGCACCCCTGCCCTTTCGGGAAACACCTTTGCGAACCTTTCTTCTCCAGCAAAACTCTGGCGGCTGGCTTCAAAACCCGCCATGGTCTTTGGGTCTTTAAAGTGGAGCCCGCTCCCTTGGGGCTGCAAAAGCTCTTCACTTCTTGGCCCTCTTGGAAGGAGGCTCAGACTGCTCTTTGGCCTTGGCCTTGGCCTTGGCCTTGGCTTTGGCTTTAGGCTCGGCCTCTGATGGCTCTGGCTCGCCGTGGTCTGCTTCGGAAGCTTCGGCATGGGCCGCCAGGAACAAAAGCGGCTGGTGCTGTTCCAGCGGAGCAGGATTCTCCAAGCATGGGATGGTAATCCCAGACTCGACGACCGTGGAGTGAACCATGGTGACCTCGGAGGTTTCGCTCGTGGGCTTGCACCAGAAATATGGAATCAAGCAAAACGCACTGTCTGCTTCGAACTGCGCATTCTGGCGGAACGGCCCAATGGTCCAGCTGTGGCCGCCGTGCTGGATGAGGAGCTTCGTTTCCTTGGCGGTCGACTTGGCTTTGTTCACCGTGCCCAGTGGAACCAAACGAATGGTTTTGCGAATTGTCTTGATGGCAAACAACCCCTGCGGGTTCTGGCCGAAAGCGATGGTCTGGGCATCCACATGGTGCTTTTCCGCCGCTCTGTGGAGAGCCAGCTGGACCTCCGACCTGGCCCGCTCCTCCAACAGAAGCTTCGCCGTCATTCCTTCCCTGGCAAGATCCTGGGGGCACAACATCGGCATCATGGCCTTGGTGGCCTTCCACATTGGCAGCTTCTGCAATGGCACATGGACTTCTTCCTCATCTTGGAAGAGTGGCTTGTGAGTCATGGTGGCATGGTCGTCCGTGACATCCGTCAGCTTGAACACCTTGGCACCGTGGTCCTTGGTGGTGTACCTCAGCACTTGGCATCAAGGAATCTATCCACATCTGCATATTCCTTGCCTATATGCTTATGTGTATTCTCTTACAAGGATATTCTGGCTATAGGCCAATTGCTAGCTTCCGCTCCAAGCAACAACTTGCCCAGTTCCATGTGGTTGTTTTGGAGCATGGCAATGGTCTTGTTGCTGGCCGCCAAGACATCCGTCACCTGCATGTTTGGAGTCATGCTGTGGTCCGCAATGGCAGCGCCAGCCGAGCTGTCTTGGATCTCCTTGGTGTAGGCAGTCAAGATGGCTTGGAGAGATTGCCAGTGCTTGGTTTCCCGGCCTGCCCTTTGTTTGTTCGTGAGGAACAAACAAACTCTGACTGCAAATCGACCAAAGCATTTGGTTAAGTGGGACGCATGGTGGGTCTGCTCCACAAGAAGATCCTGTTGGACCTTCCAAGCCTCTTGGAGCATATTTTCGGCTTGGGTAACTTGGTCGAGCATGCCTGGTGCCTTCAGTTTTTGGAGATCGTTGGTGGAAAGGATGCGGCTGAACCCGTCTTGGGATTTTGGGCTGGTCAACATGGTAGCCCATGCCGCCACACGAAGCATGGGAAAGATGCACGTCGCTTGCTTGAAATCTAGCGACACCAGGGTGGACATCAGCTCGGTTCCCACCAGAAGTGTGGCATTAAACTGCTTCCCAAAATTGGCAAGGAAATGGAGGAGTGGAAACCCCTGGCTGCCGCCGCCGAAGTTCTGGACGAATTTGGCGATGGCGGGGACACTGGCACGGCATCTCACGTCGCCTTGGCTGGCCTGCTGGATGGCATCTGGAAGGCTCAAGCCCTTCTCAAATGCA